AACAGAACGACTACGTCCGAGAGTGCATGACAGTGTCTGCTTCCAGTGGCAATTGGTCCCTGACAATGGCCAGGAAGCCGCCTTTTACGAAGGATGGGCCATGTTATACACGTAAAGACAGAAGCCTGTGAGGGAGTGCTTTTGCCATTCGCGCACACTCACACACCGTCAGGAGCCCATGGACCTGAAGGATTTCGATGTGACTGTGAACGACGACAACTCTGGTCAAGAGCGTAACAGCTGAGTTCTATTTCTTGTGAGACATGGACCATCAGGCGGTAGTGTCTTACTGGGGCAGGTCCATTTCTGTCAGTGTCTGTGGATGCGGGCACGACTGTGGACGCGACGACTGCTAACTCACAGAAAAAAGGAATCAGGTGTGCTGCGCGATATGGTCTGTGTTGCTTCCATCTTGAGCACATCTCTCAATTTGATAACGTGCATGTCTGGGCCTGTGTCGTTTTCAAGCAACCAGCTTAGTGATTGGTGTGTTTTCCGCGTCGTTGTCCGTGACCTCGGTGTCTTTGCCTTCATCATGGTCCTCGTCGGTTACCTCGTGGGCCATGCTCGCACTTGTTCGGGAAGCTTCTATGAGACAGTGGAGGAGGCCCTAGCCAAGTCCGTGCGTGCGGAAGCGCGGCAGCTGCTGGGTCTGTACTGTCTTTTGTGTTTTTTGGCTGCGTCTTCATTGACTGATACTTTCGTGCCTCAGGTTGGGCTTCAAACTTTCCGACGGAGTTCCCATGAGTGCCAAAGTTCACAGACAACAGCAGTGGAAACGTGCCAGTGCCTTGCTGAGTGCCCGTGCCTTTGGGTGTGTCGTCGTACACTGTTCTGATCCGCAACAGGCAGTTCAAAACAAGGAGCTCAGTCTCGGCAAAGACTGCGGGGGCTCACCAGGCAGCTTCTTCCGGACGTTGAAGCCGCTGGATGACCTGAGCAAGGTGGCCTACTTCAATATCGAGCTCTTCACCACTTCTGTGGGAGTGGCCGAAGTGGCTGTGGAACGTTCCTTGCTCGCTCACTAAATCGTTCAGCACTTGTCCGTGTGTTTTTTTGGTGTGCATGTGGGTATTGTTCTGAGGTGCCTGGAACTTCTATCAGCATGTGGATCCCACGGATCAGAACATGGCATGTCACATGATCCTGAAGAACTCGGTGCTTACAAAGACAGGCTATCAACCGAAGGACACCTTGCTGACTGATCTGATCGACAGAGACTGGATCTGCATCCACTCTGAATTTCCCAGGACATGTACTATTCCACCCAACGCGCGGCAGCTCTCGTGGGTTTCGTGCTTGCAGATGGCAAGTCGACCGAGCCACCTGGCTTCTCCTGAAGTTTCACCTCAGAAGTGTTAAAGGATCCGTAATGGCAAATGCTTTCTCTGCAGGCTGCGAGTCCACCACTTCAATGCACCAACCTTGCCTAGTGGCATGGTGCATGTCGACACTTTCACAAGCCCGATTGCGGCTTCTTGACATGAGCTTTTAATTGTTCAGTTTTCTGTTGTACTTAGGGCTGCTACGTGACTGAAACCAAGGACTTTTGGCATCAGAGCTCACCTGTGCCTGATGTTCTACAGCCCAACGAGATTGTGGTCAAGGTGGAGATCCACGTGTCTGAGAAAGAAGATTTTGCTCAGTGGCTGACCAAGAAGCGTGTCTTGAACATGGAGGAGACCGTGCAGAGCTTGAACCACCGACTGGACATGCTGGACTGCGAAAGGGAACAAATCATGAACGAAAAGGAGGAGATCGAAAGGGATTTGGAACGCAAGCGGGCTAGGATTGCGGCGGCAGATTCAGTGGCTTCCCCAGCGCTTGCCCCCCCAGTGACTGCTCCAGTGTCGAAGAACAGTGCCTCACGTGAGAGTGGCTCCAAAGACGATAAGCTGGAAGCGGATGACAAACCTTCCGAAACCCAAGTCGTGTCTCAGTAATTCTATTTACTCGAGTCTCTGAGTCATTGGGCCCTTTGTGCTTGTGCTTAGACTGACAGTGACAGAGTCATTGGGCTCATCGAAAGGTGCTCGGTTTTGAACGGTTTGCTGGCTACTCACTTTCATCAGCAGTGTATTCAGCTAGTCATTTGTCACTGACAGGTGCTGAGTCATTGGACCCATTGTGATTTTGGAATTGTTCGCTGGCTATGAGCAGTGCATTCAGTTATATAGTCATTTGTGACTGACAGGCGCTTGCTCTTTTTAATTTCTCAGTCCAGCCACCCGACAAGCTGCTGCTGCGTCAGAAAAAACTGTCAGCCCTTGTACTTATTTTGTCATTTTTATGCCGGCAGTGTTATGGATGGCAATGTTCATGTTTTGTATCGGTCGCAGTGACTATTTATTATCTCAAGATGCTTTAGTCAGTGACTGCAGCATAAAACCTGGCATGGACTTGGCCGACAGCGGAAGTGATGCTGAGTGCCTTCTCCTGGCAGAAGCAGGGAATCAAGACACTGCCGTTGACGTTGCAACCCCTGTGGCATTGGTCACGGCATTTCGTGTGATGTACATGGCAGTGTCTCATATTCAAGAGCTGAGAGGGTATGATCTTGTGAGTCAATCCTTGCTGGCCCGTGGCTGTGCTGCAACAACCCACTTTTCCGGTGTGGGCTGCGTCGAAGTGGCAGCAAACCTGCTGCACAATGCAGTTGCAGCCAGTGCCTTGCAGCATTACAGCATGCAATGTTACAATGTTGCCTTCGATTACCTATGCTCAGTTCGCAGTCGTTCGGCTAAGGTGTTCAGGGTGCCATGCCTCTACGGTTCGTGGCTGCTTGTGACTCCAGTCGGCACTGTGCCAATGTGTTGATTGCCAGAGGTCATGGCTGCGTGTTTCGAGACATGCGTGACTACTGTCCAGGCTTGCCTACGTGGAAGGTGCCTTCCAGATTGTCTTGGCAGGAAAGGTATCAGAAGATTGTGGGTCTTTTGAGGTTTGGTCATCTCCGATGCTGGCACAGCGGGCACGACATATGCGGAAGTCCTTTCTTCGAAGGAGACGTGTCTGGCAGTCCTTGTCAACCCTGGTCTCGCTTTAATCCTCGTGCCTTGGGCTGGAGAGACGAGCGCTCACTGCCTTTTCTCATTTGGTGTGCATTGATTGCCCGAAGAAAACCTTTGTGGGCAGCACACGAAAATACTGAAGGTTTTCCAGGCCTGTGTGTATTACACGAGCATCTGGCAAGCTTGTATCACATATGGGAGGTGCGTAGCAGCCCAGAAGATTGTGGCTGGTCCGTGGTGAGGCGTCCGCGTCTTTATTTTGCGCTAGTCCGTCGTGACTGCCTTCTGCCTGGAACGGACGTGGCTGACAATTATCAGTTTGTCTGTGAGCAGCTTCGTGCGCACATGGCTTTGCACGGTGCTCCGACAATTGCGGATAATTGCCGTGCCTCACCAAAGCAGTGGCTGGTGATTGAAGAAAATCGAGCCAGGTCTAGGAGGAAGATGTCACCGCCGGTGACCGTGTCTGGTGTGTCTTGGGCATATCTCCTGACACGAAACCAGGCAAACTTTGAGAGCAGGTACAGGTCGCTCTGGAAGGAAAAGCTCGGCACCGACCCGAGCACCGATGAAAACTGCCTGTTCGATCTCAGCCAGGACCATGGTTGGCTGTTGTAGAGTGCTTTCAAATTTGCAGGTGTGAGCTGGCCTACTGCTGCCAGGACCCAGACCGCCGGCCGGTGACTTCGGGTGCCAAACGGCAGATCCCGACCATCCGTCATGGAAGTGCCTTGCTGTGGTCTCCGATGCTTCAACGGTGGCTGATTCCCAACGAACTGTTGGTGGCCAGTGGCTTCCCGCTCTTGCCTGCAATAGCACGTGCCAGTGGAGTTCCCGTCGACGAGGTGTCTTTGCAGTGGCTGACACCCAGTGATGTAGGCAATGGAATGCACATCTTTCAGGTCGGAGTATTTTTGGCGAGTATCCTGAGCTGTGTTTCTGCCGGGAAGTGCGACGCACCGATGGCCTAGTTTCGATGGAAGCGCAACGAAGCCACTGCTGTTTCACCGACCCGGGCCCCGTCACCGACTAGGACCAGAGGCGACAATCAAGCCAAGTTTCAAAGTGCTGCAGCAGACCAACCCCCAACATACCTGGATCAAGTCGAAGTCGGTATCTGCAGAGTCCAGTTGTTGAGAAGGCTTGTTTGTTTATGAGGAGTCGCTGTATTCATAGGCATTATGTATCTTGCCGATAGCCAAATGATCTAGTGAGTCGCTGTCGTGACCCCGAATATAGCTACTTCGACTCGATCCGGTTATCTGCGGGGTTCGTTGTTTGCATCATGCCTTATCGTAGCTTTCAATGTTCTGCGCATCTGCCACGTTGACTCAGCTGCTCTGTTCATTGGCCAAGCTCAGACTCAGATTATAATCGAATCAAGCCGATCTGCTTATCTTGGCAGGGACCCACTCCCAGGTCCGGCCGTTGACTCAGCTGCTCTGTACATCAGCCAGCTCAGACTACAATCGAATCAAGCCGATCTGCTTATCTTGGCAGGGACCCACCCCCAGGTGCGGCCGTTGACTCAGCTGCTCTGTACATCAGCCAATCAAGTCGATTTGCTTATCTGGCAGGGACCCACCCCCAGTTGACTCGGCTGCTCTATTTCGTCAGCCCAGGTCGGACTATCGGTTCAAGCCGATCTGCTTATCTTCGCAGGGATACCCTTCCAGTGCACTGGGCCTGGGCTTGGGGCAGGTCAAGAACTGGAAGGAGTCACAACGACGACTTCTATTGCCAAGCTGCCACTTGTCAGGAGTTTCATTTGCAGGAACCCACTCACCCCCGAGCCTGGCCGATCTCTCAGGTCTGGCTTTGCATTCATTCGGCCGTGCGATTCTTCAGAGGCCCACTGCTCACTCGTGCAAGCAGCTCGTGCAGATCAGTTTCCTGTTAGTCTGGAGCTATTTATTTGATGTCGCTTGTGTTGCTGAAGTGTCTGGCTCTTCGTCAGTGATTTTGATTAGAGTGCCGACGTCCGGCGCCATGGGCAAAAAAGTCGTGAATGTTGAGAAAACTCACGAGGCCGGGCGGAATGACTTCGAAGTTTCACCACTACCAAAACCTGTCCTGTTCAGGGCCAGACAACGGTCCAATGCGGTGTTCTCCGCAAGCTGAAGGAGATTTGTGTGTCTCCATGAGGTGGTTTTGTTTGCGTGCGTGTCAATGTCTGCACGTTGTGACTTTGTGGCAGGACATATCTCTTGACCCCGATGTCTCGTCCTTCAGAGGACGTGACGACGATCGTGTGGTTGAGCTGATGGAGGTGTTTCGGTCGGGCCAGTACGACATGTCATTGCTGTCGCGGCCACAAGTGCTTGTGGATGGGGCTGGCATCTTGGCCTGTGTTTCCAGCTGCATGCCAAAACAGTGACCGTTCAGCTGTGCAACACTGCATCTCAGGAAAAGATCTGGTGGATGCCAACGGATTGTGTCTTTTGGCCGACGGGTACCAAACGGTGTCTGCGTTGTTCCTCAGCCTGTACAGTTCGTTGCTAAAGCTTTACTTTCGGATGTGTTGACATTTCGATTCAGACGTGACATGCCCCAGGATTGAGTTGCAGAATTTCTACGATTGTGACGAGACTGTGGCTGACCCGAACGTGTCTATGCCAGACAGCTTGTCCAAGATTTACGAACAAGGCAGGATATCGATATCAATGCAACCACCATTGACTGGCACAGACTGACTGTCAACACTTTTGAACTTGTCAGGTCTCCTCGTCGATTTAGTCACTTTTCCAGTGTATGACCGCGATTCCCATGTTGGTTGGCAGACACTGCGGCATGATGAGTCACAGAACAAGTTCAGAATGAGCAGCGTTTGGCAGAAGCTCGACGTGGTGGCTAGGTTTAGCAGAAGGGTGACTGGCGCCGACCCGGAGCTGATTCGGAAATCACTTCTGAAGCTCTATGGCAACTCCAAGAAGACCGTTGTGAACAGGTGGATGCGGTCATACGCAAGTTTGCCGACTAAGGTGCCTTTCCTTGTATATTGCCTTCTGAACGTTTAAACAAGTTCGGAGTTTTCTTGTCGGAAAGAATCACTGTCGTGTCTTTCCGAGCAGAGCAGACACATGTGCATGAAGTGAACAAGTGCTTGTTAACTGTCTGTTCGAGTGGATACGTTAAACAGATCAAGGCCATCATCACAAAGTCGCCATAGCCTTCGTGATTCGTGCCGAGCAAGAGTCATACTAAACTCACATGGACGATGTTCTGGAGCTGCTGATGCCCATGTATTGCTGTAGTTTTCCGGTGTGGGTAGCTCGGCTCAGATTCAATATTGGTCCGGTGTGGGTTGCTCGGCTCAGGTCTTGGAGCACCTGCGTACCTTGCGGACTGTGCCTGACGTCTGGGTGTTTGACAATGTTTTCTTTCTTGGGCCAGGCCAGTGTCTGGTGATTGGTGTCGCTGAAGTCATCATTATTTCCCTTCCATGCATTTGGGTGCCTGTGCAGGCCAGCAGAAGCTGAAGGCCGACGACGCCATCCGTGTCTTGAACATGGCCGTGAAGATGCGAGAGGATGGGGCCGAGATTTCAGAAAACATTCTAAAGTCCCAGATATGCCCAGCCATGCTGTCCAAAAGTGCTTGGGTGAAGACCATGCACTCAACTTTTGGTGGCTGCGCGAAAAGCAGTGCCGCAATGGTCCGAGTGACTGCAATGTTAGAGACGCGGTCCGGGCTGAACAAAGTGCTTGCGTGCATGGCAAGCAATGTTCCATTGCACGGGGTCTCCGACGAGAACCCGGGGATTCACGAGTGTCGTGTCTTGGCTTTGCCATGAGTGTTTCAGTCATGTGTTTGTGGTGCTTTGTTCAGACCCATGAGTCAATCAAAACATGTGCACTGTCAGTTGAAAATTCAGGTACTCTCTACCTGGAGTTCCAGAAGCAGAAGGCCGGCGGGCCTGGCACTGTGGATGCCTCTTCCTCGACGGTGGTTCCTCGGCAGAAGCCTGTGAGCCTGTGAATATCTTATGTGGGCACTTGTCCATGTCTGTCTGGCTGTTTGTTTGTCTCTGTCTCTCTCTCTCTCTCTCTCTCTCTACCTCTTCATGCTCTCAGGCTGTCAGCTCACAGGGCGATGATCCAGTGGCTTCGTTGGCGTCTGTGCCTGACAGCACCGCTGCTGCGGCGAGCATTGACGGTTCGCAGACAGCAGAGGACATGAAGGTGGATTTTATGGATCCAGTCGAAAAGCAGGCACAGGAGACGCTTCTCAAGAACATGGACAAGGTGCACCGCTTCGTGGGTGCGAACGCGGTGTCTGATCTGAAAAAGACTGTGCCTGGCTACCTGACCCCGCAGCAGCGTACATGCTTCCTGCTGGATTCACCAACCAGCAGAGCCAAAGTTGGCTCGAGCTTTGTGCAAGTTGTCAAGGAGGTGGTTGACAACAACAAGCTCAGCCAGTTCAGCATCGCGGTTCTTTGCGGGTGCCGATTGGACTACATGAGTGTGCTTCAGGCGAAACGGGCTGCGACGTTTCCGAGTGCCTGCATCTTCGTGACTGCGCTCACTGCTGGAGCTGATGTTCAAAGTGACAAAAGGCGCATGAATTTCGCCTTAGTGCTTCACCAAGGCACAACTGACTTGCCGGCAACGCCTACCATGGTGCCTGCGCTGAGAGGGCGTGCCAAAGCCTGGGAAGGCATTCGCCTTCGGTGCCTGAGTTTGAGTTGCCCCCTTCGTGACTTAAAGGAACAGGAAAGGGCAAAGCAGGTGTCTGAGGACTCGAAGGTGCCTGTGAAGCCGGGTGATACCCGCGCAGATCCCACAAAGTGCGAGCTTGATCCGGATGATTGTGAAGGGCAGGGGCAGGACGAGGCGATGAGTGAAGAAGAGGACACGGATCCTGCGCCACTCAACCTGGGTGCCTCGTTCCAACAGCGTGACTTCTTGGTGGACCTCTTTACCTTTGCCAAGAGCGCCTCCTTCTACACGCCTATCCTTCAGTGCCTGCTGTGTGTGTCTCGGTCCGTGACGACGGTCATCTTGACAACCACGGCACACCCAGGCTCCAGCGTGGCTGCGCGGTTGCTTGGTCAAGAGGTCTTCGCGTGTCTGCCAACTGTGACTTCGCATGCGTCCTTGCATGGCATGAAGTTGCAGGAGGAGATGTTTTACCGGAGTGCGTTGGCTGAAGCCCGCGTGACTGCGGATGCCGGGGACCGCAAACGCTCCCATGTGTCTGCAGCCATCCAGTTGATTGAAGGAGGTTGCGTGCCTGACAGTGATGTGTTTGACTTGACTGATGTCGAACCCCCGGAGACTGATTCCTTTGCGGGCCTGGACGTCTTTCACGGTGCTTTGGATACGAGAGTTCCGTTGCTACTACAGAAGGAACTCAGTGACTCCAACCTGTGCCTGGACTTGCACCAGTCCTTTGGGCGTGGCTTGGTGACTGGTAAGCCGTTGGCCGAGGGTGAAATCATATGCACCGCTACGGCGGCCAAGTTCACCTGTTACGAGGCCTTGGCGAAGTTCCTGCGCTTGCCTGGGCATGGTTTCCTCGCTGACGGTGTGGTCAAGGTTGACAATGCCAGAGTGAAGGGATCACGTGCCTCCGTGTACTGTGTCTTGCTGGGTGCTGCGAGATACGTGCAACACTTTCAAGGCCGGGAGGGAACAAGGGAAGCGGGTTGTGTTGCTCTTTTGCATGTGTGTCTGGCCAGGCATTCGCAAGCAGCCGAACTGTGCCTGGCAAGTGGACAGTGCCTGCGGAAGTGGCAGTGGCTACCTCAAGCTTGTGGCCCCTTGGTCCAAGCTTGTTCATGTGATGTCTGCAACAAACAGCCCGTTGCTTGTATAGCTTTCGTTTGATTTGAACTGGAGGTTCGCACCCACAACGGTGCAGGCGTGGCTCGCAACAGTCAACTGTGCACCAACTACGGTTTGGCGTTCGACTTCGCCCAAGCCGCAGAGATGTTTGAAGACGATCGTGTCAAACGATTCCGTGGTGCACTTGACGCCGTTCTTTCCAAGAGCCAAAGCCAGGCAGGGAATCCAAGTTGCACAGTTCTAGCCAGTGGTCACAAGTAATTATAAATTTTTCTGTGCAACGTGACTTGTCTTAAGAAGGTGGCTACGTCTTCGCCAGCACCACCTGCAGTGCCTGCAGTGCCTGCAGTTGTGACTGCGCCACCAGCCCCTGTTCAAGCCAACCCGAAGCCACCTGTCCCTGCCGCAACTCCTGCGCCTGTGCCCACACCTCCTGTGCCTGCGCCTGCACCTCCTGTGCCTGCGCCTGCACCTCCTGTGGTGCCTGCACTTGACGAAAAAGCGAAGCAGCCAGCCCCAGTGACTGCAAACCAGAAGAGCGACAGCGAGGCCGGGGTGGTCACGAATCAATGTGCATGTTTGTGCCATTGATTGTCCGGCCCCTTGTCAGGTGCAGATCGCGGAGAACATCACTGACTTCAAGTTCCTGCTGCGCATGACACCTGCAAGCTTCGTGCTTGTGTCTGGGGAGGTGCAAAACCGTCGGCTTGCTCCTCGCACATGCCTGTGGTGGACACGCTCAGCTGTTTTGGAACGCGGGGACTCAAATTCACCTTTTGCTGTCCACTTCAAGCGAAGCAGTGACTGGGTGTTCTACTACAAGGGCAAGGACCAGGCTTTCGGCGTCGCGCAGCTGAAAGACTTGATCCAGGAGAAGAGCGTGGCGAGCATCCCTGGGCATGGCAGCTGGCTGCTCGGCGTGTGTTTGTGCAGTTTCTTGTGTTTGTGTGTATGTGCGTTTGTGGGAATGGTTGTGTTGGTTTCTGCTTTGCCAATGTGTATGCATCAGTCTGAGTCTGTGTGTATTGTTTCTGTTCACTTGCCCAGCTCATGAAGATCGGCAGGCGTATGTGTGTGTGTGTTGCGTGTTTGTCACTGGAAGCATTATGTCTGGACTGTTGCAGCTGACAGTTGATTGATGTACTACGAGGCCAGCGGGACAGTGCCCTCCCACTTTCAATATGGAGAAGACAACCTTGTGTCTGAAGTGCAAAGATCCCGCCGATGAGAAGATCCTTCAGACGGCCAGCAAGTGCAGCACTGTGTCTCTCATGTGGATCATGAAAGCAGCTTCTGAGCAGGACGGAACCATGTCATGCCAACAGTGGACATGAGACAATCTAATTTGCCTTTGCTGTGCATCATGCTGACTGTTTACATATTTAGTTGCCCGCAGGAGCTTGCAGTGTATGGCGTCGCCCTGGCCAACAACAAGCAGATGATTGTGATGCCGGACCGCAACGTGCTGAGCTGAAGGGATGGTGGTGACTGCGGTCCAGCAATTTTCCAGCAGAATCGTGCATATTAATGAAGAGAGACCGTTGCTTTCTAGGTGTTGAATTGAACTAGGAAACCTTAGTGAGTTAGTCGATTAGGTTTCAAGTTGTATTCCAAACTTGTTGCTTTGACTCCGTATTCTATTTTTGGACAATGTTATGATGTGCAGGTTTGATATGTGACTACCACCACTCATTGTGCTTCCAATTGCATTTCCAAGTTCTTGGGTTCATTGCAGCAGGCACTCCCTGGTGTGCAAGAGCCAGGATCGTAGTCCGATGACCAGCACATTCTAGTGTTTGGCAGATCCTTCTACTGTTCGACGTGCAGTACAGTTGCTGGTCCGCTTTCGCTGCAGCAGCTTTAGCAACACGACGTGTATCTGGCAGCCACCATTAGTGCTTGGCATCCCTTTGGCCATATGCCGTGTTTGAGCTGTCCTTCCGGCCACCCCAGTGGAAAACTCAGTCTGTGACCTGCCCAAGGTGCATTACCGGTATTAATTTTGAATTCGATGTGAAGACATGGTAAGTATGATAGTTTCGATAGGAGATTCTCCACAAGGTCACTGAGTGGATCGAAGGACAGCACAGGGAACCATGTACGTGGCTGCGTCAAGTCGGTGCCGAGAGTCAAGTCAGAGCAATTAAGGATGGGATTCCGAATCTTTATTTACTGCATGTGATGATGAATTTCAGTAAAATAAAATTATAGCACATTTTCCAGAAGCCCATCTCCAGTGAGTCAGGCAGCGAAAGCAGTAGCTTCGCAGGGGTGCTCTGCGAGATTCTCTTCAAAAAAGCTTGTATGAGCGACGTTGCATATTTCTGCGTGCAAGTCGAAGTTTGTGTCTTCGCATTTGTGGTTTAAGTTATGCGTCACGATGCAGGTTCCAGTGGCCCGCCTCATTGCACAGAGTGACGAACTCAGTGCCCACTGTCGCTGAATGAGTTTTGGCCCAACTTCCAATACAGTGTTCCTGCCCTCGTGCAGGTGCCAGAGGCAGCCTCATTTCGCAAAGTCACGATCTCAGCCGTTTTCGATGGATGCGCATGCTTCTGATACAGCTTTGTTGCTTTACTGCAGGTGTCACAGTCACAGGCAGCTTTGCCTCATTGCACTTCAATATCTCAAAGCCGTGAACTCAGTGGAGCCTCGTCCGATGGCTCTGTGCTCGTTTTCATCATAATCGGGTGAAGCACAGCCGAAGCAAAGGAAAACACCTCTTGCTATCCCGTGTCTCAAAAAGTGGATCAAGTGTCAACAGTGTCTAAGCTTGACACAAAAAACGAAATGCAGTGTCAGTGAACTTCGGACCACACATACACAAAGAGGGTGTTAGGAGTCTGATCTTCTTCGGTGGACTTCTCATGATCTAGGTCTGTTTGCTTGGGCCGTGCAGTGTAGGGTACATTACATTGCCATGACGAGCAGCCCAACGACCAGCTTGCCACCTGCTGCGTGTGACTATTATGAACCACATGACATGGAGGAGGATGCTGATGCTGTCAGTCTTGCTGCAAGCAGTGCGGCGACATCAGTCATGGAAGTTGTGGATGGAAAGGTTGAAGAGCCGGAGAGTCCGGGACCGTGCTTGGTGGTGGCTCCAGCTCAGCAGTCCATGGCAGGAGACACAAGCGACTCAGAGTCGGATGGGGAAGCTCCCTTGCAGCGTCCTGCCACAGGTGACGACAACGAGGATGATGAGGCCTGTGTCCAGAAGACTTGGCACAGGGGTGTCAATTGTGGCTCGTGGGTTGGCACTTTGGGCTCTGCATGTCTGCAAGCTCAAAGTCAAGTGCTTGTGGCAAATGTGGTGGCCAATGTGCAAGCCTGTGAGAAGAAAACAATGAAGCACGTGTTGTCGCAGATTCGACCTGGATGTTCTGTGAGTGGCCAAAAGGTGTCTTTTCCTATCTTTGCAGCCAGCCGGTTTCTTGGTCTGGGCGCGTATACCGTGCGCAATGTGTGGGAGAAGCTGCAGAGGAGCCAGTGGCAGCCCCAGTCCAGCTACGGCGGTCGACAACCGAGACGTGCCTCGAGTACTGAAGAGGTGCCTGCGACAGGTGGAGACCCTTCAGAGTCCGAAACGAGCCATGGCATTGTTCAGCGAAAATTTGATTTCTGATTCTGTGTACACTACTGCCTAAGCCCCAAACCCTAAACCCCAAAAACCCCAAACCTTAAAGCCTAAGCCCCAAACCCTAAGCCCTAACTACAAAAAACCTAAACCCTAAAGCCTAAACCCTAAACCCTTAAAACAGGCAACCCAGGCATAATAAGCAAGACTAAACAAGCCTCGTCTCGGAAGGAATGTTGAAGACGATCACGTGCCTGAGAAAGTGCGGGCCATGGAGAATGTGTGCCTGCTTGCCATTTCCTGTGCAGTTGAAGGTCAAAGTGGCTGGGCTTATGAGCGCCAAGCCGCTCGCTGGAAGGAAGCCGGCGTGCACATTGGCACCGCGTTACACAGCAGACGATTTTTCCGGGAGGTGACTCACGTGGCTTCATTAGTCCTGTCCCAGCTTGAAGGCCTCCAATGGTCTGTGCCTGTGTTAAGCACCGGGTGCCCTTCAGACTTTGCCCTCATGCTTGATCCAGTGTCTTTGGGTTCTGGCTTCAGTGCGAAGCACGAGACGGTTCTCATGGTGACTATGATGCTAGTGAACAGCACTGGAAACCTCATGGTGCCTATGTGTGCCTCCCCCACCCTTGGAATAGGTGATCACAGAGGGGATAAGTTGGTCGACCTGACTTTGAAGTGTCTGGAAGATCATCCAGGTGTCTTCGATAGAGAGACCCTGAGGGCCCGACTGAGCCTGGTGGCTGGAGATGGCGGAATCGTGGCTGGTGGAAAGCAGCACCGCCACAAATCAACAGGTGCGGCTGAGAAGCTGTGGAAACGCATCCACGGTGACTCGGAGCCACACAGCTTGAATTGCAGAAGAGTTTTGAGTTATTTTGTTGGAAACTGTAATCTGTGATAATCGACTTGCTGTCTATAAAGCCGTGCCTGTTAGCAGGTCAGCAATGGATTGTGTTGACTGGGATGCTTTTCACAGAGATGACATCAGCTTCAGCCGGGCAGTTGCGAGAACGCAGGCTGCCGCCGAGCTTTTTGCTCTTGCGAAAGATTTGGACCATCTCTTCAACTATGGCGATGGCAGGATTATTTTTCGATCCTTGCAAAAAGAGCTCGACGTGGCTAGTGGTCAGGTGCGACAGACTGGTGGAACACGAAAGGTTGGTGCCTTGTCCTTGGTGCCTGAAAGCATACTGCAGCACCTGAAAAGGATAACCGTGGGTCTACGACTTCGTTACGAGTGGCGCAAAGAGGGCCATGGTAACTTTACTTTGGATCGCCTTACTCAAATCTCAAGACGACTGCTCGATCCTGCATTTCTTACCTTCACCATGCTTATGAGTGATGTAACGCGTGGCCCGGTCCGGCACCATGCCTTGCTTGTGCAAGGTGCATTGGAGCCATGGGCTTGCAAACGTGCAGACAGTGCATATGTCGACGAACTTAGTGCCTGTTTGCGTGGCTATGAGTGGTTGGAGACGTGTGTTCAAGTCACGACCTTGCTGGCTCAGCACTGTTCTTTGGCAGAGAGAGCTTGTGCCTAGACCAATATTATGACAAAGCAAATTTAAACTTGTGAATTTGTGGGTGTGTACTGTATGTTGAAGTGGTGGCCTAACCATTGAGTCGTTCTTGTTCGTGGCATGGTTGTGTTTTGCTAAGGTTTCCTGGTTGCCTGGAGCTCTGAGAAGAAGCATCGAATGTACACAGGGACTTTTTTGAAGTTCGCTGCCAAAATTCTGCTTCAGATACCACCTTCTGTGGCTGATGTGGAGCTTGCGGTGGAGTTGCCTGAGCAGTACACCAAAGGCCGTGCCGCAGGACCCCATTGCCAGTGCCCTGGAGAATTGCTTTCCTTGAAGAGCCGGGGCAAGGTCCCTTCTGTGAGACTTTGCAACTGGACAGTGCATGAAAAGCGAAAGTGTGGTCGCAAGTGCAGCAAGCTGTGCGGGAAGGTCCTTCGAGTGCCTTTTTGGGTAGCCCAGTCCTCCAACACGAAAGATGGTGCTTTGACAGAGAACGTGCCTCGTTATCAAACTATTCCCAAAGTACCGCCTGGCCGGTCAAGACCGGGCTTGCTGCGGGCTCGCTTGGTGACACATTCCCTGTCTCCGGAGGCGAAGCTGCACAAAATGAACAGCGGTGGATGCAAATGCCCTTGTGCCTGGACTTCACGTTGCCAGGTTACTCTGTTTGCAAACAGCAGGCCAACACAAATATCGAAAATTTAATGCACTAGTTCACAACTGCAATCTTCATCTGTGGGAGTGCTGGAACTGTGTGAATTGAGTTTTATTGATTTACAAGTGGTTTCTCTTTGCACTTCAGATTAAGGTTAGGAATGTCTGGGCTCAGATGATACTGTCGCATCGACACCCGAGGTTCCGACAGCCATGTACCATTATGTCCTCAAAGTACTTGATGGAATCCGTCTGGCAAGAGGATTTGTTGAACGCTTGCAGAATGAATTTCAGGAAATTATTGGCACCGTGGGTGTTAATGACGAGATGATGTTGCTGGTGGAGAAGATGCAATCTTGCTTCGCATGGCAGCGATTGGTGACTTCACCTCCATCCCAGACGGATTGTGAAAGCTTCCTGACTGTTTGGCAACTGCTGGAGCCATTTTTGGCTAAGTGTCTGTGGCCTGATCCGCAGGCATATCCGTTGCGTAGCTTGAGCTGGGATTTGGCGGTTAAAGAGAAGGACCGTCAGTATAGACTGTTCTGCAAGCGAGTGCGGCTAATTGCTGCTGCGTCCCAGGGAACAGAAATCAGCTCGGCAGTGCCTGAAGACGTGGCTGCAGAAGCAGCTGGATGGTGGGAGACATCAACATATGTCGTGCGTCCAGTGTGGGTGCTAGGTTGGGTCAAGATGTTCCTTCTGAAGATGCTG